TTTTATTTCGTTTAAAATCGTTCTCCCATTCTATGCTCTATAAACTGAAGAAATGTTAAATGGATTACGGAAGAAACAAAATACAATTTCAAATGCAATGTGATATTTCACAATAATTATATAGCCTATTTATTTGGAATACATTACTTGTCGGAGTTCGTAAGTCTAGGTACATACAGTTGGCATTTATTTGTATTGTCACTGGTAAATAAAATTTGAAATATTCTGACAGATGTACTTAATTTCACTGCATTTTCCAAAATACAGTTCTTTACCGTCATTTTGTTCTGTGCTATATAAGTTATGCGGCAAAATAAATCAAGAGGAACACGAAGAAAAGGATGTATTACAGAGTTTAGCAAGTCCTTTGCGGTAAGACTGTTCACTAGAAGTTGATACGACAGCGAGACAACCAGCTTTCATAGGACAAAATAGAAACGTACCAATACACATACAAATCAGCTGGCAAAATGATTGTATTCTTTCGTGCTTGTGTGTGTGTAATGAGTTCGAAGGCAGGCAGGATGATAAGAATTTTTTTAAGCTGAACGTATTATGAAATCTCTATCAATATAATTTGTATTTGTTATTGTTGTTTTCTGATATTATTAGTTTAGGTACTTTTAATGATTCATTACATATTATGAAGTTATTGCTGAATTTTCTTTAGTGTCATTTTATTTTCTTTATGTTTACTTGTTAATTAGTTCGACTACTTTAATTTCGATGGCAACAGAGATAAGGGATGATCTAAAGGATTAATAATTACACCTAACTTAATGTAGCACTCACCCGATTCCGAGACACAGTGATATAACGCGCTCATACTCGATATTCTGCCGTCTCGGAGACACTCTGTAGGCTGACGCTGTCTTTGAGAGGCATTTACCTGATTCGCAGATAGCGCGAGTCGACACATTCATTTCCGGAACTTGGTCATCTCGTAGAATCATTTGTTCTCAATAACATGTCCGGCACTCAGTCTGGTAGAAGAGAAACTTTACCTCGTGATCGTGGCCTACACTCACCAGACTGCGGAAGACACACCGGTCTCACACGCTTCGTAAAGGTGACTGGCTTCCTCAGCTTGAGCAGCGCAATGTCGTGGTTGTAGGTGTTGACATCGAAGTTCCGGTGCCTGATAACAGCAGCCACGGCACGCATGACTGCCGGCGTGTCTGATGTCTGGTACTGGTCATGATCACCGAGGAACACCCGAATCTTTGAGCGTTTTAACCTGCCGTCAATTATACGAGGGAAGTGGGGAAATATAAAACTGCTCTTATCACATACGATACATTTTTCTAAATTGACCGTCTGACGTATGAGCGAACGTTTCGGGAGCCTTCAAAATCCGTTTGTTTTGATATTAATATGCATTTCTAATATCGACAACTAATCACATTTAATTCTTGTCATACTTTACAATTTGTGCTTATTATTTGATTTTTCTCCTTCGTTGACATTAGCTCAGGTTTCATAGCGTCATTCGAAGGATGGGTATAAATGACGAATTTGAAAGAATGTGGAGGGAACGTTCCTGGAATTTGCTTGAAATGACTACGACGAAAAACCTAACAGATGAGTATTTGACCATTTTCCGAATTTCGGATCATAAAAATCCTATATTATGTTTGCCAAAATCGCCTGCTGTTGAATTATGAGTAAATTTGGATCACATACTTACATATTATTATATATATGTATTGTTCTCTCACCTCCTTACGCAATGAGCCGCTGTCAGCACATAGTCGCCATTTAGGAGCGATCCTCCACAGTGGAAATTACCGTCGTACACGAGACGCGCTACCCATGGGTACCGGTTCACACCCGTCGGGCGTCCGCCCACGATTCTAATCTCTTGGTTTACCACTCCGCATTCTGTTGGAAACAACACACGATTTTCCATCACAGCCCCGCACAGCATTTATAATTCCAAATTTTCTGAGGGTTTGACACATGACATTGGCTGTCTTCAGGGATCTTGCTCAGTATAGTCTGATTGAAGTTTACCAGCGTTTAAAAGGTCATTGCTGCCTTCATCATAAAGGGCATGATTGAGGCAGAAAGCATTTCTGAAACGTTGGTGAATTTTTACCAGACTGCACACTGCAGAAACCCAGAAGACAGCTGCCTTCACACTCGCATTTTAACAATTCACTGCAGAGCCCCGTACTTACGACATGAGCAGTTCCTCAGCGCTTCGTCTTCAGTATCGGAAGAACTACTGGATCCCAGACCGAAGAGTTCGTCAAACAGAAGTCGATTGCTGCCGTTCGTGTCATTTTCAGTCTGAAACAGCATACCAAGGTGACAAGCACAACGGTTAAACTAACTCCATGGAGCAAGTCTTTCTTGAAACACTAATAGTCACTCAGTTGTACAAGAAATGACCCGTTTTATGGCATCGAAAGTTATTGTCGGGTCTATAAAAACCCGCATTGGCTTCCATTACAAGTGAGGCTAATCCAGTTCACACTCTCACATTCAATTTATTATGACCCAATTTTATATTAGGTTTCTATTTATGACCAGGTTTTCCAGAAAGTCTCTTAGCTTGAGAAACTTTAAGTTTTACAAACAAAGTTCTGCAGCTCTCCCATGCGTGCTACACGTCCCACTGATATAGTCGCTTTGTTCTTTCTAATATATGTTGAATTATACAAAATTTGAAGCCCTTCGTTATGCAGTTTTATGCAGAATTCTTTTACTTCTTGTATCTTAGTCCACAAATGTTCTTTTCAGACACACTCAGTGTATGTTATTATTTTATTGTAAAACACCACTATTTACACTAATACAAAACAGCGGGTAAAGTTATACCTATTATGTATTTAATCTTTACATTTTTAGATAGAAGACGGGAAGACAGACGATTCTGATCTTAATAGTAGCAAATATTTCTGCTCTTAGATATGTCATAAACTCAATGTTGATTTATTACTGTCGCTTATAGAAATTTGAACGATGACATATTTTCTAAAGATGTAATATGTTCTGTGATTTTACTCTGTATTTTGGCGACGAGATGAACTAAAGAACTAGTAGCTTTTTCTGCCTTTGCCTTTTTATTAACCTTCTTACTAGCTTTTAATGAATTTGTTTATTTATTTGTGGTGTTTACGCCAATAAACTTACATCATCAGAGTAGACCAGAAAGTGATAATTATTACCTCGTTTCAGACCATTCTAAATAGGAAACGGATCAGACAAATATTGATATATACAGACTTTACTTTAGGTTTATTTTAAATGTATTACCCTACATTGATTAATGGGTACACAGTTGTGGTAGTTCTTTCTTATTCAGAATTTAAAGTCTAAGTACTCCATGTGAATTTCAGAGCATCTTGGACAGTCCTTGGTCGTGACCCCTAGTTGACAGTGAAAGTAGGTAGAATTACCATAACAATGACCTTGCTGTTGGCAA